TGGAGGACGCGCGAGGCGCAGGGGCTGTGGGAGGGAGGCCAGGGTGAGCGTGGCCCCCGGGTGCCCTGGCCGCCCCCTTGTCCCGGCCGGCCCCCCACCCGCGGGCACCTGGCAAAGCAGCAGAGCACATCGAGCCGGCGGTGCCGGCGTCGGTGCAGGTCGAGGCTGAGCACAGCCGGGAAGACGAGCAGCACCATGGCGAAGTTGGATGCCACGACCACGGCTGCCTGTGAGGGACACGCGTGAGGCCGATGGTACCAAGGGGCAGGTGCCCCCGGCTCAGTGAGGAAGGCAGTGCCCAACCCCCACCAGCCTCCAGCCCCCACGGCAACCCTAGGGGCATAGGGAATGACGGGAGGTGGGGAGAGGGGTGCGGGGGCCTGACCTTACCGGGAGAAAGCATGGGGTCAGGGGTCAGGGATCCTATCTGGACGGAGAGGGCACCTCAGGTGGGGAACTGGGGTCAGGGAGAAGGCGCAGGGCAGGACTGGGGTTGGGGGTCAGAGGTCAGGGATGGTACCTGGAGGGAGAAGGTGTGCAGGGGAGGGCGGGGATGGGGTCAGGAGTCAGGTGTTGCATTTGCAGGGAGAAGGCTTACAGGGCAGGGGGCAGGGGTGGTAGCAGCAGGGAGAAGAGGCTCAGGGTAGGGAGGGAGCCCAGGGCTGGGGGTCAGGGGCTGCACAAGCAGGGAGAAGGGAAGCAGGCGGGGATGGGGTCAGGGCTCAGGGGTCGTACCTGCAGGGAGAAGGCGCGCAGGGCGGGGATGGGTACCAGGGCGGCCATGAGGAAGGCGATCATGTTGCTGAGGGACGTCAGGGCCACGCTGGTGCCCGTGCGCCGCAGGCACTCGCCCGTCCGCTCCTGGGGACACAGCGGGGGGGTCACGGTGGGGTGGGGGGGTCCGGGCAGCTCACCCCCTCCCACCTGCCGGCACGGGGGGTCTCACCTTGAAGGGGATGTGAGGACCGGCCTCGGGGAAGGCGTGCGCCAGCAGGAACATGTCATCCACACCGATGCCCAGCGCCAGGAAGGGCAGCACCTGCCACGACCCAGGGTTCAGCACCCAAAACGTGGCCCCCAAGAGGGTGCCCAGCCACGCACCCCTCCCACCAGTCACCCATCCAAGCGCTGCCCTAAGCCCACCCTGCTTAGCATAGGAGACAGCCCACCTCCTCATCCCATTGAGCCACCACACCAAGTGCCCAAAGCCACGCCATGGAGCAAAGGATTGTGGGAAGTGCCACGCTGGGCTGCCCCCCCCGTACCTGCGTGGTGGCCGCGTTGAAGGCAATGCCGAGCAAGGAGCAGAGCCCGAGCCCGGAGGCCAC